CGAGAGAACGAGAACGCAGAGTGAGGCGAAGTGAGTGAAGTAGGAGACGTGGATCACGCTTTCACCACTGCCGAAGATACTGCCGTCGTCGTCGGTGGTCATGGGAGGTGTCCATGATGTCCATGGACGGCTGGTAGTGGTGGGACAGTTGAAGTTTTCGTCGCTGTCATCTCCTGAGGAGTTGAAGGTAACAAAGCCAGGTTTGCTGCTGCCAGTGATGTTGCTGATCCATTCCTGGTACTGGGACACACGGGCATAAACTCCAGGATTCTTAGGCAATCCGCAGCCGTTACCAAAACTCACAACTCCACTCTGGACCCAGATTGGACCGTTCTTGGTAACCAGGGGCCCTCCTGAGTCTCCCTGTGGAAAGAAATAGTCGATAGTTGTTGGCATAGGTCAGGATGTAGCTTTTAGAGGAAGCATCTTCTCTGCTGAAGTGTGAATCCTGAACTTATTTGTCTGACTGAATGTTTTGAGAAATTGTATGCTCAGTCCATGGATATCCATGTTTAGCCTAACTTAGCTCAAAGACTTGAAGCAATGGGAAACCCTGAATCAGAAGGATAAAACAAATGACTTTCAACAAATACACAAAAAAGTAGTGGTCACCTGACATGAATCCTTCCCTCCAGCTTTGAACCCAGCGCAGATCATGTTGTCTGTGAGTTCAGGATAGGCGCATTTGCATTGATTGTTTCCCACTATTGGTACATCTGCCTCCTGCAGGATGTCGGCAGCGGTACCTAATTGGAGATATTTCAAAGGGAAGGTACAAATCAGTACAGCTAAGAGCTTTGTGCAGTGTTTTTGTTTTCATAGGGTTGGCCCATCAAAACCACTCTACTTTAGTCAATCAAGAGGTTAAACTTCCTTTTTAGAGCTTCAAATAACTAATTAAAACTGAACTTTAACATCCATTTTTGGGTAAAATTTGTTTGAGGCTTTATGACCTATACTTCAGTCAGCCACCAGGGGGCGATTAAGATTATTTGGCTTCACTTTTAGAAAGCTGTCATGTCGTCCGTCTTTATATACGTCGATGACATAGACTTATACCTGTACAGTTAAGATTTTCCACAAAAATAATGGCATGGCATAATGGCAATGTGCTAGCTTAAAGTGCCACTTTTTACACATCTGTGTGCATAATGGAACACCTAAGTACTTATTATTCATCGTTTATTATGACAAAAACATACTGCAATGTTTGTCTTTAATTTGAGACAGTCTTTAAGCTTACCGTTGTCAGTCCTGCCCCAACCAGTGACCCAGCTGTTGACCCCGGTGTAGAATTCGCTGTCTTCTGAGGCTAAGCAGACTGGATATATGTAGTCGGTAAAGTTCACAGGGGCAGACAGCTTCAGAAGACATACGTCGTTGTCGTTGGTAAACTGATTGTATCCACGATGGCACATGGTCTGAACGACTGTCCGAGACACTTCATTGGGGTTTGGACCTGACTGGCTTTGGCGTCCCAAAAAAGCTGTTATCTCGCTGTCATCCCTTTTTGAAAAGAAAGAAGCAAAATAGTAAAACTTTCAGTGTTCAGTTAACCCTTTAGCCCCCAGTTACACCAGGGGCCAGATGTATTAACTATGTGTACGCACAAAAAAAAATTAGGGACCAGGCACGTGTCTCTGTATGCAAACAAATGCTTAAAGGTGTTTCTGCATCCACGTCTGCATAATTGTGGGAGTGGAAATGTGACTTGTGCATGTGCGCCCGTCTCCACAATGATTTAGATTTATAAAAGTGAGAAAGGCTTTATAAGTCTGGGAAAAAGAATGCACATTTCTGTCTACACACAGTTTTTGTTGTGAATCTACACAGTGTTTTACACACATGGCTCTTGGTATCTGTAGCTGGATACGTTATCTGGAAAATGACGGTGGTTCCCTTACGCTGATATGCAGTGAGCGGCTGTCAGCACCCACAGGTCGGAAATTAGGGATCCTCCGCAGAATTGACCAAAAGCAGAGTTTAAACTGGCTTGCCAGGGCCAACTTCCCGGAGGTGCATCTTGACCTCCCACAATTTTGGTGTTTAATGTCGCCATACCACATTCTGACGGAAGAAAAAATAATTAAACATGGATAATGTGTAACAAAACCTCATGAATAAAAAATATGTCACATTTCTTTGCTAAAACTACTACTACTATGCAACACTTTGGTTTTTAGCTCGGACATATTGGAGGTTTCATATGAAGCTCAGTTTCCCAGTTGGACTGTACGACTTGGATGTTGATGTGAATGGTGTCTGCAAGGTGGACACTTTAAGTTATTAAGTTAACTTCCATATGATGGGAACGCAACACAAGAACGTCACGCTACTTCCTCCTTCAGAGAGCTTGCTTGTCAGGAAGATGTGCCCTCCCGTCATCAAGCATTTGAATAAATTAACAATGCTTATTGAATGATACTTAAGGTTGTAAATCTCTGTTAAAGCTTTTAACATCATTTAAAGTTTCCACAGAACCCAAAAAACACAAAAAACAGTTGATTTCTTATTTATTGGTCTGGAAGCTGATTTATCAACATGAATTAAAACACTTATTTTCACCCAACTATGTAAAATATAACATAACACTTACATATGATAAAAACTGTATTATTATATGTTCTCTTGACAGACAGGAAGTTAGAAAATAAAACAATGGAGTCGAAGCAACAATGGAGCAAGCATTGTTTCAGCAACAATGGAGTTGGAAAAGGAGTAAAAACTTTAAGAACTTGTAAAGTTGGAGGCTTACTTGGTGATTGTGATTGACAACCTGAAAGTTAGAACAAAACAAAAAAAATCAGGGTAGGGCAGATTATGACATTTGACAGAACATACAAAACCAACCAGAAATATGTGACCCTGAACCCTCATTGTTTTTTTTATATTTTTTTTATCTCTTTGTGTAACAAGATCTGCACCAAGATCTCAGATCGACGATTTTGACGCTACATATTTACTTCTGAGTGCCTCATAAGATAACTCGATAAGATAACATTGTTCTCAAAAGAAATCAAAAACCTGTTTAATGAACCTGTGAGACATTTACACACAAGGACACTGTGGGAAAAAGCAGAATTTAGCTCCAACATGGACTAGTTTAACATTTCGGGATTGGTGCCTAAATTGTTAAGAACCTGTTGGACTTTTTGCACCTTTATTATTTAAATGACGGGAAGGTCCTTTTTGAATATCACTGCAATGACTGAAAATATGTTTATGTTTATGTCCGTGAGCGTAGTGCTATCGATAGGCATCAATCTGCTGCCCCATTAGGCTTTTTCTTTTGATTAAATATGACAATATCATACAAATAGAACAGAAATTAATAGAAGACATTTTAGTAACTTTAACTGGCTTGCTGATTCATTTTAAATTAAATATATTATTTAATGAAATATTTGTTCTGTAATTTGAAATTAAAGGTTATCCTAGATTTCTGCTATTTTGACCCAGTCAGTAGGATTGCTTTGAGCCTTTTCCTCACATCATGCGGCAAAGCTTTTTGATACAGAAAATATGTATATTCATCACTTCTAGTCTAAAACAGTTGCACTTCCTTCATATATGATATGAACCAAGTACTAAGAAACATTTGTTATTTTGTGAAGAAGAATCAAACGTTGTCTCTTACCTTTGGATGAGAGAAGGATCGTCACCATCAGACCAGACAGAAGCTGGTAGAGAGCCATTTTACTCTTTTACTTTCACACTTCTGCCTGCTTCAGTCAGTTTGTCCCCAACTTTAAATACCTTTTTTCTTTATGCTCAGCTCCACCCACATTTGAAAACCTTCCATGAAAAGAAGCATAGTTCTTATTAACTGACCTCTCCACATAGCTTAACTCAAGCTTAAAGATGAGCATCAAGTCAAACATGTTTATCTTGATGCCTGCCTTTTGTCTGCAGCTTACATGTACTGTATGAATGTACCTTAGAAGAATGCATTTGTCTAATATATTGTGTAAGAGGTGAAAACAAATATCTCAGTTAAGCTCGTGATTATGGTTAAGGACAACAAGACTCCTACGTGGGGCACGTGTCCTCCTCTGGCCAGGGAAAAAAACACGTATCTCCAAATCTGGTGATTTTAAACTTGACCTTTTCGGACAGACAGAGAATGATTAAGTGTTCTTTTATGGGTGGAGACAATTATTCAACTTCCTAAGCTGTGTAAGCAATTTAAACCCTCATGGATTAGCTGGAAAATGTGGAATACAGGTTAAAGTTGACTTCAGACACATCAGACACATGGTGCTCACAAGATAACATCACATTAATATGGCTGTGATATTGATTATGTTGAAGATCGGATATAACTGTGTATTATTGATATATAACGATCACGAGTGCCTTCTGGTTGCCTGGTGGTGGATGTTTGTTGTGTGTTAGAAGCAGAAAAAATGGGCAGCGTAGGATTTGAGCGACTTTGACAAGGTCCACATTGTGATGGCTAGATTACTGCAGCTCTTGTGGGGTGTTCCCGGTCTGCAGAGGTCAGTACCTATCAGAAGTGGTCCAAGAAAGTAAAAGCAGGTGAACCTGGAGACAGTGTCATGGGACACCAAGGCTCATTGAAGGCTCGCCCGTGTGGTCCGATCCAACAGACGAGCTTCTGTAGCTCAAACTGCTGAAACAGTTAATTCTGGTTCTGATAGAAAGGAGTCAGAACACAGTGCATCAGTCTGTTGCAATAATGTTATGGCTTATCAGTGTAACTTTTTGCTTTTACTTAAGTATGTAGGACTTTTACCTGTAGTGGAGTATTTCCACAGTGTGGTATTGTAAGTTAGTGGCGATAAGACTGATCGTTGGTCTTTAGTAGTTGACCTTTAATAAATTGTTTTTTGGAGGACAATTAGTTAGAAAACACTGAAATATGTGAACACACACACTTAGAATTTGGACATACACAGTGTGCACACATGCAATAAACATGCACAGACACATCAACAATGTGCACACATGCATTGGATAAGAATACAAACACAGCCATGTTGATGTCTATGCAACCATTTAATGAGAACTCCCATAATTCTTTGCTCTCCCGCTCGCTCGTGTACACAAAATAAATGAAGAAGAGAATCAAGCTTTATTGTAGATGATTAATTGATTGATAGTTATTGCACTTTACCCAACTCGATCATCTGCCAGTTTATTAAATGATTAACTCTTAATAGAATACAGGTTTTAAAATGTAAAGAGTAACTTAACAACCCCTCTGAAATGTCGCTTTCACTGACCTCCAGTGGTTTAACTCCTCACCTTGCTGCAGTGATGTACAGGTGTACTCCAGGACATCACTGCTTACAGGACACATTTCTTTCTTTCCACTTTCCTGCATTTCAGCTGTTGGTGTTAAGTTACTCTTCAATTAAAGACACATGAATCGAAAAACAATCCCACTCCCTCATTTTATCCTAATATAAATCATTTAAAGAGAGAGGGCTCATTATCAATCAGAGTGAACGAGACTCTTCGGCAGAGACAACAGTTACGCGTCACCGACCAGCACGTAGCGCGAGAGAACGAGAATGCAGAGTGAGGCGAAGTGAGTGAAGTAGGAGACGTGGATCACGCTTTCACCACTGCCGAAGATACTGCCGTCGTCGTCGGTGGTCATGGGAGGTGTCCATGGTCTTGATGGTGTCCATGGACTTGATGGTGTCCATGGACTTGATGGTGTCCATGGACTTGATGGTGTCCATGGACGGCTGGTAGTGGTGGGACAGTTGAAGTTTTCGTCGCTGTCATCTCCTGAGGAGGTGAAGGTAACAAAGCCAGGTTTGCTGCTGCCAGTGATGTTGCTGATCCATTCCTGGTACTGGGACACACGGGCATAAACTCCAGGATTCTTAGGCAATCCGCAGCCATTACCAAAACTCACAACTCCAGTCAGGACCCAGATTGGACCGTTCTTGGTAACCAGGGGCCCTCCTGAGTCTCCCTGTGGAAAGAAATAGTCGATAGTTGTTGGCATAGGTCAGGATGTAGCTTTTAGAGGAAGCATCCAGCCTGCTGAAGCTTGAATCCTAAACTCTTACTTGTGTTTTTTGAGAAATTGTGTGCTCAGTTCAGCCTAGGTTAGCTCAAAGACTTGAAGCAATGGGAAACCCTGAATCCAAAGGATACAACGACTTTCAACAAATACACAAAAAAGTAGTGGTCACCTGACACGAATCCTTCCCTCCAGCTTTGAACCCAGCGCAGATCATGTTGTCTGTGAGTTCAGGATAGGCGCATTTGCATTGATTGTTTCCCACTATTGGTACATCCACCTCCTGCAGGATGTCGGCAACGGTACCTAATTGGAGATATTTCAAAGGGAAGGTACAAATCAGTAAAGCTAAGAGCTTTGTGCAATGTTTTTTTTCCATAGTTAAAAGATGAAAGTTGAGGAATCACATACTGATATAATTTACATCACGTTTCCACTTCCTCCCACCTATATGCCTGGACGACTCAATCAATCAAGAGTTTAAACTTCCTTTTTAGAGCTTCAAATAACTACTTAAAGCTGAACTTGCACATCCATCTTTTGGTAAAATGTATTTGACATGTACTTAGATTTTTTAGTTTGTCCCCTCTGCTAACATTGAGGCTTTATGACTTTATGTCTCTATATATGTCGATGACATAGACTCATACCTGTACATTTAACATTTTCCACAAAAATAATGGCATGGCATAATGGCAATGTGCTAGCTTAAAGTGCCACTTTTTACACATCTGTGTGCATAATGGAACACCTAAGTACTTATTATTCATCGTTTATTATGACAAAAACATGCTGCAATGTTTGTCTTTAATCCTACAGTCTTAAAGCTTACCGCTGTCAGTCCTGCCCCAACCAGTGACCCAGCTGTTGACCCCGGTGTAGAATTCGCTGTCTTCTGAGGCTAAGCAGACCGGATATATGTAGTCGGTAAAGTTCACAGGGGCAGACAGCTTCAGAAGACATACGTCGTTGTCGCTGGTAAACTGATTGTATCCACGATGACACATGGTCTGAACGACTGTCCGAGACACTTCATTGGGGTTTGGACCTGACTGGCTTTGGCGTCCCAAAAAAGCTGTTATCTCGCCGTCGTCCCTTTTTGAAAAGAAAGAAGCAAAATAGTAAAATTTTCAGTGTTCAGTTAATCATTTAGCCCCCGGTTACACCAGGGGCCAGATGTATTAACTATGTCTACACAAAAAAAGGTGTTTCTGCATCCATTTATGCATAATTATTGTAAATGTAACTTGTGCATGTGTGCCCGTTTCCACAATGATTTAGATTTATAAAAGTAAGAACGGTTTTATAAATCTGGGAAAAAGAATGCACATATCTGTCTACACACAGTTTTAGTGTGAATCTACACAGAGTTTTATGCACATGGCTCCTGGTATGAACATCTGTAGCTAGCTACGGTATCTGGAAAATGAGTCTGATCCACTGGCCTTTGCTTTTACACCTTGTATGAACGTGTTTTTTTTCCAGATACAGCTTACATGATTACAAACCAACACACATTAAGTTTATAAAAGAAAACTTCCAACAGTGTTCCCCTTACTCTGATATGCAGTGAGCGGCTGTCAGCACCCACAGGTCGGAAATTAGGGATCCTCCGCAGAATTGACCGAAAGCAGAGTTTAAACTGGCTTGCCAGGGCCAACTTCCCGGAGGTGCATCTTGACCTCCCACAATTTTGGTGTTTAATGTCGCCATACCACATTCTGACGGAAGAAAAAATAATTAAACATGGAGAATGTGCAACAAAACCTCATAAATAAAAAAAATATGTCACATTTCGCTGCTAAAACTACTACTACTATTGGATGTTGATGTGAATGGTGTCTACAGGTGGAAACTTTAAGTTATTAAGTTAACTCCCATATGATGGCAACGAAACACAAGAACGTCACACTACTTCCTCCTTTAGGGAGTTTGTTTGTCAGAAAGATGTGCACTCAAGTCATTAAGCATTTGAATAAATTAACATTGCTTTTCCCTGATTTTCCGGTCAGACAGGCTGAGCACACCTTGAACTTTGCATTTTTATATCACTACAGAATAGGAGTTTGTCAGGTTTATGATCTCAGATGGTTGTCAGAAGTGAATTTAATATCACATTTATTCACCTAATGGCGGATTTGTTATTGTATTGTATGTTCTGAGGTCAACTTGGAATAACTACCAGTAAAGACATTGCTGTCGGTTGGGGCTATGAGTGATAGTTATATTATAGAATAGATAGATAACTACTGAATGATACATAAGGTCCGAAATCTCTGGTAAAGGTTTTAACATTATTTAAAGTTTCCACAGAACCAAAAAAAGAACCAGCTGATTTCTTATTTATTGGTCTGGAAGCTGATTTATCAACATGAATTAAAACACTTATTTTCACCCAACTATGTAAAATATAACATAACACTTACATATGATAAAAACCATATAATAATATGTTCCGCTGACAGACAGGAAGTTAGAAAATAAAAGAATGGAGTCGAAGCAACAATGGAGCAAGCATTGTTTCAGCAACAATGGAGTAGTTGCACAATGTCAGTACTTATATATATATATATATATATATATATATATTTATACTATCTATTGTCTATTTGGCCCAGAAGAAGGAGTAAAAACTTGAAGAACTTGTAAAGTTGGATGCTTACTTGGTGATTGTGATTGACAACCTGAAAGTTAGAACAAAACAAAAAGAATTAGGATGGGGCAGATTATGACATTTGACAAAACATACAAAGCCAATAGAAATATGTGACCTTGAACCCTCATTGTTTTATATTGTGCAACCTGTTATTCTTTTATTGTCTTGGTCACATTTTTTCTCAGATCCACGATTTTGTTGATTTTGACGTTACATATTTACTTCTGCGTGCCTCATAAGATAGAGATGAATAGAAGACATTTTAGTAACTTTAACTGGCTAGCTGATTCATTTTAAATTAAATATATTATTTAATGAAGTTTTTGCTCTGTGATTTGAAATTAAAGGTACTACTGTTTCTGCTGTTTTAACCCAGTCAGGAGGCACTGGGTCTCCTAAAAATTATGTTTGCATGTTACTATATTGTTAAAAACTAATAATACCTACTAGGATAATGTTCAGAGACAATGTTTTTTAAAACACTACATTGATGTATCAGAAGGATAGCTTAAATAAATGTACCAATATCATTCCTGTCCTTTAATTATTCATTATTATTGGAGAATAGACCAGAAATTAATAGAGAAATACAAAAAACACTTTAATTACTTTAATTGGCCAGCTTTTATATATCTACTTTAGTGTTTTTTTTTCTTATAAAATATATTTTTTTAAATGAAATATTTGCTCTGTAATGTGAAATTAAAGGTTATCCTACGATTTCTGCTATTTAGACCCAGTCAGTAGGGTTGCTTTGAGCCTTTTTCATCAGGCAGGAAACTGTGTAAAAGCTTTTTGATACAGAAAATATGTATATTCATCACTTCAGTCTAAAACAGTTGCACTTCCTCCATATATGATATGAACCAAGTACTAAGAAACATTTGTTATTTTGTGAAGAAGAATCAAACGTTGTCTCTTACCTTTGGATGAGAGAAGGATCGTCACCATCAGACCAGACAGAAGCTGGTAGAGAGCCATTTTACTCTTTTACTTTCACACTGCCTGCTTCAGTCAGTTTGTCCCCAACTTTAAATACCTTTTTTCTTTATGCTCAGCTCCACCCACATTTGAAAACCTTCCATGAAAAGAAGCATAGTTCTTCCTTTTTTACCGACCTCTCCTCAAACTTGAATATGATTGACATGTTTATCTTGATGCCTGCCTTTTGTCTGCAGCTTACATATACTGTATGAATGTACCTTAGAAGAATGCATTTGTCTAATATATTGTGTAAGAAGTGAGAACCAATTTCACAGTTAAGCTCGTGATTATGGTTAAGGACAACAAGACTCCTAGGCGGGGCACGTGTCCTCTGTGGCCAGTGAAAAAAACACGTATCTCCAAATCTGGTGATTTTAAACTTGACCTTTTCGGACAGACAGAGAATGATTAATTGTTCTTTTATGGGTGGAGACAATTATTCAACTTCCTAAGCTTTATAAGCAATTTAAACCCTCTTTGATTAGCTGGAAAATGCATCGTCACAAAGCTGAAAAAGGGTTGACTTATCAAACACATGGTTCTCGCAAGATAACTGAAGTGAATAACACTGATTATCTGGTTATCATGGCTCCTGTCAGTGGGTGGGATATATCAGGCAGCAAGTGAACATTTTACCCTCAATGTTGATGTGTTAGAAGCAGGAAAAATGGGCAGCGTGAGGATCTGAGCGACTTTGACAGAGCAGACTGCGTCAGAACATCTCCAAACCTGTAGCTCTTGTGGGGTGTTCCTGGTCTGCAGAGGTCAGTACCTATCAAAAGTGGTCCAAGTAAGGAAAAGCAGGTGAACCTGGAGGCCAAGGCTGAAACAGTTAATGCTGGTTCTGATAGAAAGGAGTCAGAACACTTCAATACTTCAGTATTCAGGACTTTTACTTGTAGTGGAGTATTTCCACAGTGTGGCATTGTAAGTTAGTGGCGGTAAGACTGATAGTCGCCCCCTGTTACGAGCGAGTTAACAGCCGTGAACATCGTGTGTGCGAGCAGGTTTTCGTCAATGTGTTTCTGTGCAGAGCTTTTCTCTCCGGGCTGTGAAGGACAAAAGGCTGGCTGTCAACACCAACACGCTTAACGTCGGCCAAGGCATGCTGTAATGGTGGACGCAATCACTTCCAGATGACAGACAGAGAGGAGTGTGTGTGTGTGTGTGTGTGTGTGTGTGTGTGTGTGTGTGTGTGTGGAGGGGATGTTGGGCTTGAGTTAGAGAGAGTAATAGGGGGAATGTCACTTCATTGTGGAGGGAGTTACCTGGTTTACATGCAATGGAAAGACAAAAGAAGAAGGGGCTGTAGTAAGGGTAATATGTGTGTGTTACCGTCAATAGCAGGCGAGGAAAGGACACAAGGAAAGGACACAAGGAGACGATCCTGTCTAAGAAAAGCAGGAGAACGACTACTTTGATATAAATTGCAAGATTACATGAAAAAGAACACAACTCTCATCCTAATTAAACATTTTTTTGGGGACTTTTTCTTCTTGAAAGTTGACATTTTGGAGATTTTTGCCTGACAAAATGTGACATTTTTCAAAAGATTTGATTAGTTTGATCAATAATGATAATAAAAATAAACTAAACAGCATTTTTCTTACCAATCTTACAAAGTTCTGTACAAAGGACAAATGAATTGGAATAAAAACATCTAAAATATTCCCAAAAGCTTTCACAAACAGAAGAAAAGTTTACACAATTTAAGAATGTTGATTTTTTTCTTTATGATTTTAATAAAGAAGTGTAAAATGCTGTCACATGAAAAAAAAGTTTAGTAGCACTTTAAACTTTTTCACATGTACAGTAAGATATTGTATAATTACACCTGCGCCTGTATATGTACATTTATCACATTTGTTTATTATAAGGGGAAAAAAGGGTTTATGTGGACTTTTAAAAGCTGATAAATCAATTTAATGAAAATAAAGACCCTTAAAAATAGTCCTATTAGCCTTTTTTTGAGGTATTAAAGTTTGTAGCTTGTTTTCAATATGTATGTTTATCCACAGTTGTATGCTACAACACTGTATACAGTCTTTTACGATCATTATTCACATCCACCTCATCTTTTCAGCGGCAAAAACTGTACATGTGCTGGTCTTAAGTCTGCGTTCTTCTTTTAGAAATACCAGTTTATGCGTGAGAAAAGACTTTGTACATGTTAGCCCCAGGTCTCGCATATTTCTGTGCTATAACACCATCCCTACCTCCTGCTTCTGAAGCTACTACAACAGCTGCCACTTCATCTACTGCTGATGTGAGTGTTGATGGAATTTTGCCACCCTGCCAGTCTGCATTATGTCGCTTTGATACAGTGGTTCAACAAGTTTTAACGCATTTAATTGTGCCAACTTAATATTTATGCATAGTAAAGTGTGTCAACCGGGTTAGAGCTCCAACAAGGTCTTAAAATGTAGTTAAACGGTCTTTAAAAAAGGCTTTTAATGGTCTTTAGGATTCCTACATTTACCCTAAAGTGAACCTGCAAGAATCCACATTTGAGCTCGACAGCGACGTCCTCTGACTGAGCTAATGCCAGAATAAAGAATTCACCGGAGAGAGATTAGGAGCTCGGTCGAGAGGAGACGAAGCCTGGCCGAGTTCAGCGGGCCGTCTTAAAAAAACGAAAGTATTTTATTGGCAGGGTGTTGTGGTCTGAGGAAGCTGGGCGAGTGAGGAGGGACACAATAACAGAACACACAGTTCTGCCACTGAACACATGGACACCCTGATGAGCTCTGTGTGTGTGTGTGTGTGTGTTCATGCCGCCTGCTACCAACCCACATACCTGGCAGCCACGAGGCTCTGTGGTTTGGACGTGGTGTGAATAAACAGTATGTGTGTGTGTGTGTGTTTGTAAACAACTCACAGACCTGCTGTATCGTGTAACACCCTGTTGTTTGGTGTCATTTATGAGTCACGCTTATTCCGATGAATCGACGCTTTGTGTCCGGTGTTAGCCAAATTCTGCACGGTTGCGTCACCTATTACAGTCGGTGTGGAAGCTGCAGTAGTTGACCAACTAAAAACTGCAAAAGATCTGATTTATGTTATAAAATTTATATAAATAAGATACTTTCTAACAATGAGAGTTGGGTTTTTGGTCCTTTACTTTCAATGTTTATACAGATTATAAGTAAAAAGTTAAGTAAAGTATAGTTTCCAAAACATGTGTTTAAAGGGACATTGTTTAGGAATTTCTCCCATCTAGCCTCGCGTTTTCAAATGCGTATTGCAACTACGGTAGCCGTTATGTACCAAGAAGCCTACCTGTCGAGGAGAAAGCAGGCAACTTCAGCGTCCCTTTGAAAGTCTTTCTCCTTCAATAGCTCTTTCCACCTGGGAAAAGCTACCCCGATGTTTACCCTTGTTTCTAATTCCCTTTTTTGGCGATGAGGATTCCTTCTCCTGTGGCTCGGCATAAGTATGATCCTCCATTATGAACTAAAGTGCAGTGCAGACTTTCAAATGTGCCGGGGCAGTGACAAGCGCCTCTCACTGATCTCCTTCTCCGTTATAGCTGGTTTCAGTCACGTGACGCTGGCTCTGAACGAAAATGCGTTGTGGATTAGCGAGACAGGTAGGCTAGTGCTTTATGTCCCTCTGGCGATTATAGTTTTTCAAATAGCGGAACGACATGGAAGTGTCCATGGACTTGCAGTCCAATGTATATACAGATAAGAAATTCTTCACTTACGAGGATAAGTCAGATCATTGGCAGAGGTAATATTTCACCAATGAGAACACATTTATGAATGAAGACATTGATTTTAGTTAATAAAATACTTAAAACACTACACAACGTCCCTTTAAGAGTATTTTCGAGTCTGTAGGCACACCAATGTCACAGTGTACTGACACACCCTATATATATATTTAATATTTTTTAATGTAGCTTACTTTAGCTTGTCATAAACGACATTTATTTTAAGCAAATGGAAAGGACATTTGAGTTTGGGTCAAGTACACGTCATAAAAACAAGGTTTTTTATATCACTTTTTATAGGTTGGATTACACTGAAGTGTTAGGTATTTATTTTGCTTTAGAATCTGGTTGTTACTAGTGTCTGTTCCTTATTTTGATTATATCACAAGTGTTTGTTTTGTGTCTTTTAATTAAGTGTTTTTTTTACTGTTAAAACACAGTTGGAAGTTAGTTTTTAGCCATATCTGGGACAATAACTGTATTGTGCTTAATGCCATTTTGTGCCCCCTTTTTTGTGTTTATTATTGTTTGATTGTTTCTCCATCAATAAACACAACACCCGAACTTTGTATCCCTGTAGAAATTGTTTATGTGGACAGTTTTATGAAGACATTTTCGGAAGTTTTTCTCCTGAAATATTCTGCACAATTTAAACTGAATAATTCCAAGTAATTATTAAAAGAAATTATAAAAAGCAATGTTTTTTTGGTTTTTTTTACAAATGTTGCACAAACATCTGTTTTCTCTCCACCACGTCTCCTCCCTCAGCAGAGAGACTGGGTTTCTATGGTTACGGGGACTCGTGCACAAACCTCCGTGCAGCATTTTCTGATGCTGTTTTCAAGCCGTCGTTGGATATTTTAATAACAGGCTTTTCTCCTGTAATTGTATTTTATGTTATGAGCTCAGGTTGGTGTTATTGGTTATAAAATGAGTCTTCTTTACTCGTCCGTGCAGCTTATTACTCCAAATGTGTGTGTGTGTGTTGGTGCGTGTCCTCTATCTGTCCTCTGAGTTCATTAGTGCCCTGTGTGAAGCAGGCACTCTGCCCTGTCACACACACACATTCACAGCTTATTTACTTGTTTTATTGCACTGCAGACGCTCGAGTGCTGCTGATTATTTGGTGGAAAATTTCACTTCACTTCACCACTGTCGTTTGAAATTGTTACACTAGTTTTCGATGCATTATGATGCAATTGAACCTTTAACCCTCTCAACAGATATATTCGACGGCTTTTTGTAACGTAGGTAGTTAAAGTAAAGAGCGTCTATTGTTTAATACTTATAACTTCTGCCCTCATAAGTATCTTTACTTTGTTTTGGGTACTGTCGCTCCCTAATGAAGCCGGTGCATACAGGTTTATGTGGCAACAAT